AGGTCAAGCGCTTCATTTTCTTTCAAGTCACTTGACTGTAATATCTTGAATCCGTGTTAAGTTTACATCGGTTGAATCTCTCCCTGATTTGCGGAAAGAAGGAGATAGGGGTATGTCTATAGTACTACATGAGTCTTAAACTAGTCCACCTGACTCCTCTCTAACCCAGGCCGTACCTTATACAATGCCCCTTGCCTCTTATGTTACTTTAAAGATCATTGGTAAATTGCTCGTGATGAATGGTCAATCAGTTCAGTAATTACCCGTGGAATTCAGCCACCTTATCCACAGATCCTTGTACCCAAAAAAAATGAAAGTGCTACCAATCAAAGCGGCGTGCGCGGGAAAAAGACTTAAACAACCTGCAGCCCCAGCCAGGCGATGCCTTGTCACCGGGACCACATGAGGTGCGCATATTCATATTTTTTTCCCTTCTTATTCGAAATCTAGACTCAATATTTATGAATGTTTAGATTTCTATGTATGATCATCAAGATCAATTGAATTTATCCGATTGAATATGATTAAGCTCAGCTAGGCTGCAAGAGGTTCAGTGATATCTGAAATGCAAAGGCAAGGAAATGCTAACCCGCGATAATTGAGTGGCTGGTTGTTGCTAGATAAGTAGGAGTTCAGGATCATCAAAGCCTTTAGAATCTGTAATTAATAATAGACTCATCTGCATTTATTAAACTAAGCTAGGTAAGAAGTGTAGGCGACACTATAAACACCGCCTTGGTTGGGTGGTTGGGTGGTACATCGTCCTGGCCGGACTGCCAAGTAGAGTCTGGATAGCTTGGACACATATCCCACTTGAGGCAGTAGATCGCTGGTTCAAATCCAGCAAAACACAATCACATTTCTCGCGGCGCTGTTATGCATGGATGACGTAGGCATGCTTGGATAACCAAAGGTTTTGAAACGTCCCTTTGGTTGTTACTGAAGGAGGGTCGTCTGTCTGTGTAAGCAAGCATACCTCATTGGTATTTTGGAGTGAAACCTCGAATATGAGTGTCCCTAACGTCAAAAGAGTCGTCCAACATGTATACACATCACCTATCATGTGTTAAAACAAAGTAGCTGAATGTATATTAAATTATTTAAAAGACAAAAATAAGTTATCGGAACATTATAAATTATTACTTTATATTGAGAAGCCAGTTCGATATCCTGTACAACTTATAATAAATTTTTGTCTGAAATTGTTAACTTGTTCTTTTGTTTTTCATTTCACATGTTACCCTTCGATGACTTAATAGGTTTATTAATTATTTATTCATTTTATTGTCCTGTCTGAGTCTATGACTATGTAGAACATGCAGATCCTCTCTGCCTACAGGCCAAGGATACCTATACCAGTAGTATATCTTCTCCTATGCCTTCCATACAGCTCCCCTCAAACAGTACCGCCCCTCACAAGTCCTCATGCGTTCATACACTTAAAGGAGCCCATTAACCTTCGTTATCTTTCCTCTCCAGCCAACGAAACGATGGCTGTTTGCGGGTGTATAGCTGCAGGGAAAAAATCTCAAAAACCACTGAGCGCGGGCTCTCCTATGACGAAGAGGCCGGCCAGCCGGGCGCAGTAGACCTGTGTATACCTAAGATTGTCTCTCAAACCTCCTGGGCTCCTCTTCCTTCTTTCCCTGATTCATGCCGCAGGACAAACCGAAGGTCGTGAAAGGATGTCAGAAAAGTCTTGGTCGAGAGTGACTGCCGTAAAGGAGCCTAGCCTAGCACCCAAAACTCGTTACTGACATGAGATTGTCAAGTAACTCATGCATTTTAGATACCCTCCTGACTAGTAGATTCGGAAGTTAAGATTAGTGGGGACGATATTATAGTCGAGTCGGAATCTGCTTATCTTGAGGGCGGAAGGGTCTTATACTTTGCTTTCGTGGGCTTTTGGGTTGCCCGCCGTTGTGTAGCACATGTTGTGATATGACGAGGGCTTCTCTGACCACTCTTGTAGCGTTTGGTACCGCATTATCTTTCCTCATTTCCAGCATCACTATAGTCGTCTTGGTCGTCTTGTGTGTTATCAGAAGTGAATCTTTGACGGAAGGGGAGATAACTCAACTTAAACTTGAAAAGTTGTTACTCAATCTCGACTCTGTAGGCTCTACAGTAAGAACTGAAGGCTCGTAGGTGACACCACTGACAGGTGTTGAGAATTGTCCTCCCCCAGGCATGAATATTCTAGTTCAACTTGAGTCATTTATTCTATTCGTTACCTCTGACAATATGTAATGGCTAAATAGTTGCACAGATATTTAAAATCTAGTTCAAAAAAGTATATTCCCAAAGCAGTTTGTCATACTAACCTGTTTACATTCTAGTATATCCATCTCGCTCGTATTCTTATCACTCCCTTCACGAGATCTTTCCTGTTTAGACGCTGTTGGAATGTGATTCGGGCTTCGCAGTCAGTTTGAACTACGCTTTTTACCTGACTCGCTATCCGAGATAAAGGACAAAATTCCTACGGCAATAAAAACTTATTAACCAGGGAATCCCATAACGGGACTTGGCACATCAACTCGAGAAGGTTGCAGCTCTTAGAAGATCGAGATAAAGCTACCTTTGATAGACTTGGATGAGACTTTGGTAATATGAATTTATTTAGGACTAGTAGTAGGTCTATTCCATATGTCATAAACTACACATGGGCTTGGCAACCGTCGGATGCCGGATACGACGCATTTCGACTTGTATTAGCCGTATGAAAACTCCCTTGTAGTTATCACAGATTAGGTTCGGGTTGTTAAGATTATGAGGACATGCGGGTTGAATCTCTACCTTGGAAGGATGCTATATGTGTTCGTAGAACACCAACGTAGATATCGAAATGACTTGTGTTAATTCAAGAACACTTGTATTTAGATGACTTTTTACTTGTTCCTACTGTTAGGAGATACATCTCATAATTTCCATGTCCTGGATAGCCATATCACAGTTCCTACACTATCCAGTACATCTCATTCCATTCCATTACAAATCTATGATACCCCAGTTATAGGTTGCCCTCAAGTCCATGTCCTTGGACTTGTATGAAATACTGGCATGCATAAATCTGCACAGATCTAGGAACTCTTGGCAGATTATAACACGGGGCTTTTGATTGAATGATAATTAACCAGATCGCCATTTCTGAATGTGGAAGGAAGGCCAGGTAAACTAATTCTAGGCTTCTTCTACAGTATGAGGCCATGATAGAAAGAATAGTGGAAGATCTACCTCGAGTGTACACAGACTGGCCATCTTAGCACCAATAGATATGATGGAAAGCTAGATAAACTGTATGAGATAATTCTATATAAACTCTATATTGGCTAGCTGCTGAGTGGCCGAAAATGTCTCTAATTCAAAGTCTCCAAAGATATATGAGTAGGGATAGTGAGAAGCTCCGAACAGTACTTTAACCTTCCTAGTTTCCCGAACGATTCAGTCGACAATCCACTTAAATGGAAAGAAACGACGAGATAATCATTTTGGCTCTAAATTTTTGATAATAATGCCCATGCATTCCAGGGCTAGAATACTAGCCTAATTTATATAGCTTGCCAAGGCTCCTACACTCACTTTCTAGCGTAGATCGGTAAAACTAGTTAGGCAGCATCGTAAAACTGCTTGATATGATTTTGAAGCCAACAAAATAAGTCCTTATGGCACTTTGGTCCTTCTTAATAGATTATTGGGATACGTACGCCGCTCGTATAGGTCAACGTGTAATTTTTACGTTGAGGGAGGTGATAGAGAAAACTTGGTCCAAAGTACTATCTATCGATTACCTTCCATACTCCAGCTGATGCACTTCAATCATCAAGAGACCCAATTGCTTTGGAGCATATCTACCGTTCAATTGAGGTGACAGGTGAAATGTTAGAAGACCTTGACCATAATTGCTCATCAATATTTCTGCATCGTACGAAGACCAATCAGAATTGAGCCAGGAATCATGGCGAGCCAAAGTATGGGAAACGATAAAAAATATCACTTTGACAGAATATACGAAAAACTCCAGAAATATCAACGGCGCTGAAATCTGGACCACAAATTGTTAGGTCACAAATAATCTCCCCCAAAATCATATCCCTGTGACCCAGTGTTCTATGACTGCAAATATTCATTGCTAGAGCAATTACTTGGCCGATTCCGAGTCGTATCGGCGGTAGTAGGTTTAATAGAGTCGCCCGAGATACTTTTTGATTTCAGGGAAATGAGCGAGCTTCAATTTTACGGTCTGTCTTCTTAAAATACCTGTAGAGTAGCCTCAAAGATGCGGCCTTTCATAATCTGGTAGTCACTCCTCTTCGTTGAAATTCATCTCATAGATATAAGCTTTAATTTTTCATGAAGAAATTCCGATGTAAATTGATATCGACAGATATTTGGCCCTCTTGATTTCGATCAAAATATCTATGGCGTCGTCGGTGATGCTGCTTCATCGAAATATTTGTGAAGTTTTTCTATTAAGTTTTATCTCACTTTCTTCTATGACGAATAAGAGTAGGTATCCCTGACTTAACCTAACGAAATACCCCTCCAGCATCAAATAACTTTATCAATTCCCTGCTGAACCAAATAATGCTAAAAATCCTGTGGCAGGGGCGATTGGCATCTGATGTAGTACAAATCTAGGTCATGAAGATATCCTGTAAAAGGCAGACCCTCAGCATTGAAAACCAGCCTATCTGGCGATATTTTTGGGCGCATATATGATGCAGAATCCAAGATAATAATCAATTTCCTATTGGCTGATTGCTCAATTCTATTTTTGTATATTACAGAGTACTTCACAAAGACGCTCTTAACATAGAGTTTATAAGCTCTATTTTCGCACAATCTTTTCTTAATAATCTAATTTTGATAGCCAGCGAACTAAAAAGATAAGTACTTAGCTATCAATGATGTGAATACCAATGAAGAGTAAATTCTGTATCGTTTGCGTCGCTAATTTCTATCGCTGGATCTCATCGTTCCATCTCGCTGGCTTCGGGTTAGATGGTTTCGTCAATGACTAGATTTATCGGAATTATTCCATTTTTCTCTTTCTCCATACGCTCCGCTTCCTCATTCTCACGCATTAGGTCTTCTTCCTGGAGCCGGAATTCAATATCTTCTTCCGATTCATGTTCCAAGATCCCGGTATTTTCATCCACGTTCATACAGTTTTCATCGTATGCAAAGTGCATTTCTTCGGATGGTGGTGGCGGAGGAGGAGGAGGAGTTAAAACTATATCTACTACTTCTTCCTTGAGCCGTTTAAAGTTATCCAAAGAGATATTTGGTGTTGTACAATTATCATCTCGCTTCCGCTTTACTACTGGCGTTCCTGGTGAGGTTTCCTGTGGGCTCGATGGACTCATATCAACTATTACCTCCTCATCCTCTTCTTCCTCCTTCGGATCAGGGCTGATTGGCTTAACTTTATCCCCAGATTTTCCATTTGAAGTAACTTTCGAAGCACGTTCTTTCTTCTCTTGCTTTCGACGGTCGTTTTCAACCTTCTTTGCGACAGCTTTTTCAAAGTAGGCGCGCACATAACTTTTTACTTTTTTCTCTTGTCTCTCCGATATCTTCGTCGGATCTTCGACACGGTTATTCTTAAAATCAGAGGCTACAAGCTTCTTGCCTACTTCCTTTGCGAACTTTTTCAAATCTTCTTTTGGAAGTTTGTGGTGAAATTTTTGCATGACATTTTTTATATGTGGAAAGAGCTATTAACTTTCGGTCAGGAGTCAAAACTCTTAGGAAGAAGTAAGCAAACATACAGTATTCTCATAGAGCTTCATCTGTTTTTCCTGGGGAAGACTACGCCACTTCTCTGATGATCTCTTCTTTTCTTTTGATGCTTTACTATCTACTAGCGATGTAGACCGATCATGGGAGCTTGCACTCAAGTCGTTGTTGGTAATACTATCTATAATATCCTGTAGTGCTTTGGCAGTCTGCACACTCTTAAGTGGCGCTTTTGGTGGTGGGGGTGGCTCTGGTGCTGCATATTTTGGCTTGTTCCATGTTGTTTGACCAGATTTACTGTAGTAGTACGGGTTACCATTATCATCCATAGCAGTAAACCAGCCAGATGGCAAAGATTTGAAATGTCTTCGTACTGGTGGTCGAGTGGTGAAAGATCCCGGCCGTTGAAGCTTCAAGCTCCGAGGAATAGATTGTGCTACTGTTGCAGTGGGTGTAGCGGGTTTAGATGTTTCTTCAGACCGGTCCGTATCCCTTCGCTCAAAAAGTATGGAGGCATTTGGATCGAATTTCTTTCGAGGAATTCGATATGCTACTTCAAGTTTGCTCCATAATTCTAGTAGTCTTTTAGATTCGAATGCTATATCTTCGTGTTCAGAATCAACAAGTGTTTCAATCGCAGTCTCGATTTTAGAATCATTAATTTTGTTTCGCGTCAAGCGAGGAAATTTGTAAAGAATATTGAGGACCTGGAGAATTATGTTGTTATCATCTCTCCATGTCATCAAGGTGGTGCGAAGAATTTGGTAGCCATGCATCTGAATAACTCGATTTCGCACTTTCTCATCATCGCATCTTTGTAGACGGCTTAGTAGTTTGACAGCGATCCACTTCTCCTTGCACTGCATGAGCGTAGCCATAACTTTACGCACGCCCTCCTCATCTAGGCTTTTGGCTTGAACACTATTGACATATTCTTCATCATCCTCGCCAGATTTCTTTTTCCGGGGCTTCTTTGCAACTGCTGTATCCCAGCCATCATCATCTTCAATTCCAAGTGCTTCAATCGTAGCATGAGGTAGTTTTGTGGCACGCTCTGTCTGGGTTTTTCCTCCTATGTATCCGGTACAATTTGGCTGGTCACAATAACATGGCTGAGGATCAGCACCATACCGATCCACATTGTAATTAAATACTAGTTCCTCGCCTGCTTGTATATACCTTTCGGCAAAGACACCCATACGCAACTTTTCTCCCACTACCCATTTGTCTACATAGCAGTTGGGATTGCAGGAATGATTACAAAATCGACCGAGGTTTCCCTTCTTTGTGGCATCAATAAATTCGTTTTTCGTGAGCGACATAAAGTAAAAATGTTTAATGCCTTCACTGTCATACTGTATAGTTCGGCGACGAAAAGTTGGCTCGTTTATAACTTCTCCTATGTATTCGAATATGAAATCGTTGGGGGCTAAATCAGTATTTGCTCGTAGACCATAACCTTTTTTATCGGTCTTGATCACCGAAACATTGGCATATTTTCGTCGCTGGAAACGCGTATTTTGACATTTGATACCACAGTTACAATCACCATCGACACATTCCATTTTTGTTGCACGGTTTATACAATCTGAATCCTCTCCGCAGGCATGATTCTTGCCATCCCCTGTAATGAATTAGCAACTCTAAAAAAATAAGGGAGGAAAAGACTCACTCCATTGCTCAGAGCAATCACAGTCTAGAGTATCATGATCTCCCGATGACCCCATGTATTTGGAGCCGTAGATACATTCCTTGATAACTTGAAATACTGAGACAGCTTCATCGAAAACGTCTGGCAGGTCATTAAGAAGAGTTACTTCTGACTGGGTAATCTTTTGTGCGAACTTCTGTGATGATGTTGGTGCAATCTTCGTAACAGCGGTTGTCGGATTACTCTCTACTGTAATATTTTTGTCTTCAGAACTGGAGTCCTGGCTAACGTTTGAAATTTTACCTGGAGATTGGCACCTTAAGTGTTGAAAGGCACTTTCATAGGGTGAACTTGAGCTGAATTGCTTTACATTTCGAGATTGGGTGTAATGTTGCAATTCAGATTGATGGGGTTTATTTTCCCTTTCATCATCTTTTTCGAGCTTCATATCACCCAGTGTGGGATCTACGACTTCTGAACTAAGCTCTTAACACTTCCAATCTTCCTGAAGCAAAATTCTGCGTGCTGAGCCGTAGAAATACTTCAGATATGGTGCTGTACGTTGTGAGTTGCTGAGTCGCGGAGGGAGTAGCTCGGTGTGGAATAGGCGTTTCTAGATGCCGAGGCCAGGCCTGCTGTGGCGTGCTGTTATTTTCTAAAAAGAGATAGTTGTGACGATTCTTAAATTAGGAAGTATGGCAAAAGATTCACGGTCAAGTTTTGTAGGTATCTCTAGTCACTCGTGGAATGTATTGATTGACATCCAAAGAGGACGAGGCTCTGATAGTAGCAAAGATAATACTTGAGAGAAAAATCACTCGCAGTTGTGTAATCAAGCGCGGCGTGAAATGGGTGGTTGATTGATACTTGACGTTTGTTTAAGAGGGAGGATGCAAAGAGAAAATCTCGGTTCAAGCAAACCGCGAGCAGAGTTAAATATCAACTTATATTCAAAGCCCAAGCTGCTCACTCGACAGCTCTGTGCCTACTTCACAGACTAATTGGAGACTCCGCGCTGCAAATTATCAGTGTCACTGGAAAATTGTGGCCCTGAGATGTTCAGTAATCTAATAGGCCGAGTGTAAATACAGTTTATTTTATAAGGCCTGATGCATCGATAAATTTCTCAGCATCGAAGCCTGGTAATATACCCTCGGTCAAGATTGCTCGTCTGACGAAGATCATGCCATTTCACTAAGTTCTGTATTCAAATCCTTCATCCAGACTCACATATTAAGCGCAGCTCATGATTGACCACAAGTATCGTTGCTCATTTTTGTTGTAATAGCCGTACATTGTTCTTCTCCCTCAACCTAATTTCTGAGAGAGAATTAGGTGAGGTCCCTCGATCATAGCTCGTTTGTGATCGTGTGGCTGTTTTAAAACCAACTTGACTTTTGAGGCATGGGCATATCGTTCCGGGCGTAATCAAGGATGATGTGCATCTTCAAAATCCAATGGATCGCCAGAAACATCCTAATTTCCTCTATCATTTTATTCATAAGTATTAGTACCTGATGAAAAGATTGAGTTGTGATTTCTAGCAAGTCAATACATAAATCATGGTATTAGATGGCCAAATAGCCTAATGTAATAAAGACTTAATAATCATACAAAAAAAATCATTTAACAAGCCGAAAATTCTAGAATCCGTGGTCGGATCTTAAGTCCCATAATATATTCAAAGGGCCCTGTGAGAACTGAGGGCTTGTAATGGATATTAAGCTTAGCGATGTCTGATTAAAGTATTCAATATTTTGCCTTGACAATGCCTTGAGAATTAATATAGCTTGTCTTAAATGGAATAAATATTTCCTTGCGAAATGAAAATAAACCAGCGTATGTGAACACTAAGATGTAATATATTCAAGGTTCCTGTTTAGCATTAGCAGTGCCTAAATGGATGTCTTAATTTGTGTCTGATGCAGTACGCCATTATTTGTTGGTCTTCGCAAGGTTTGGTTCCAGCTGATGGTGAAGGCGTTGTTGTCATCCTCGCTAGAAAGTAATTGTACTGATCAAGATGCGTTGGCTGTTAGCAATTAATCAAGCAACCGTCATATTCAACTATTGGGAAGAGAAGCGGCAGCTAGCTACACACACGTCCAGCATTAATAAAACCTTAAAGTTATTGGCCTCGATAGCATAAACGATTTGAATAAAATGCACTTCACATATATTGAACCGCGCGGCTAAATATTCTTCGCGCGGGGTTTTGAGCATGAGGTCACAGATTTCAAATATCAAGGCCGACAAGGATGAATTTTTAGAGCGAACTTAGTGTATGCAAGAGACGACAATATGGTTCGTTGCGACTTACCGAAAGCACAATCGGCTCTGAAAGCTATAATTATACACAAATTCATTCGTTCACCACCTCCCAATATTCAGCAGCCTCCTAGTTATCTAATTCTTCTTTCCGTTTCAAGGTTTGCACAAGATGGGATGCACTGGCAAATATGTTTGCTTAGTGGGCCCCGTTCTCGATATTCTCGTTCAGGACAATCCTAGAACATGCAGATTCTGACTTCGCCCTCTACCACTCTAGCATGAAATGAACATGCAATCAACATGCGGCTGGATAAAATCTCCTTATGCAGTCCTCCAGATCTCCACGTTGGCGGTTTGGCTTTGCTTATCACTATCTGCCACAGGTTTCTACTGCTTCGAATCTCCTCCAGGCGCTCGTTCAGCTGGTCTCAAATCTCATCCTGTTCGAGCCTCCTTGTTGGCGTGTTTCTACTTTTTCATCACATTCATTTCATCACATTAAAGCCTTGGATTAGCTTGATCTTATTTATATCTCTTTAATGATATTTAATCTAGCCTTCGATCTTTCTTTCAAGAGATTTCATCATCAATCTACGTTTGAATTATCTGCTATAAACCTTACTTGGGTGCTGTTCCTTGAATTCTAATACAATGGAGAAAGAGCCATTCTCTGAGTCAGAAAAGGTGCGTTGTTCTAACTTGGATTCATTCTGCATACGTGATCAAAAAGCTGCCATATAAATGAATCAGGTTCCAGCTGGTTAAAGAGTGATTTAAACCTTGGCCCTGATCACTAATCACCATATTTTTGATAGCGTTTTGTTGTGACACAAATACTCAAGGCGAGCTCTATACCCCTCGAGCGACTAGTATTACTCTTGAGCGACTGTCATCAGGAACCTCATTGGGAACATATCTATCTTCCCCCAGGTGAGCAAATTATTTCATCAAATTAAAGCAAACACAGCTTTATCAATAAGTTTTCACATTACATCATCAAAAGAAATATTCTCTCAAAGCTATTCTAATTGAGTAAATTACAGGGCGAACTCTTCAAGAGTGTAAAGATGCGTTTGAAGCATTGATATCATCTCATTTCTCGCCCTATCCAGGGACTAGTAACCATACGTCTACCAAGTACTGCTATCAAAAACGTAAACCGGAAACTGAAGCTGTAGGTCCCCAGGCTTTAGTGCCAAAGGATCATAAAAGACGATCTTCAGGAATTCGAAATCTAGAGAAAAGCAGTCAGCAGCACATTCTTCCAAAGCCACCCTCAAAAGAGATCTCAATATCTACAACCAATCTACCTTCAACTCAGCTATTGGCGAAGAAGCGTGGTAGACCGTCAAAAGCTGAAAATGAGCGCCGGCAAAGTGAATTAATGGCACGCAGGGAATTAATTGCACCCACAAATTCTAGTTTTTATTCAATTTCACAAGCTACGAGTGAAGGTCTTAGTACTACTGCTGGTTATACACTTATTGCGCCTGCACCTGCTAGTACGCACAGTCTAGGACCCTACGATAGCAGCTATATGGCCCAGAACTCACCAGAAGTTGCCTTAACTCGGCCACAAGTGGCTGGGTCTGGTTCTTTGACTACTCCAGTAAGTAGTGAATAAAGGCTCATGAAGTACAAAAGGTTAACAAAATGAACAAGTTTACTCGTTCAGCTCAATTCGATAATGAAAAACTGCTTCTACATGGATCAGCTAGTCCACTGACAGGGCAAGCTCGTGCTACTGGAAGCCCAGCATCAGGCATTAATTCTCGATCTGGTCCTTTGAATTCTGAAATCCAGAAAACCGACCCTGTATTAACTCAAGCTTTTCCTCGGGAGTTAACCAAACCATCATGAGCGCTATTGAAACCAAGTATGAAATTCAAAATGATGGCAATTGATAAATGAAATAAAGATTGTCAACTTGCTGCCTTTTGTATGCAAAAACTCAGGAAGTGACCGTTCACTACATCCATCGAAGCTACGATAATTTCTTGGATTCACGACAGCTTCACGTCATGGACACTAGCGCTACTTCACAAGGGTGGTAGTGGTAGACATTGGTTTAACGTCTAGCGTTTAATAAGGCTGTTAAACCAATTTTGTCACGTGTCAACGGTCACAGATTAGTCGGACGAGTCTAGCGACAATTTTACTCAAGTTCAGATTGCGCCAGGACCAAACTTCCTTAATCGACCCTGAGATAATTACAAGCAATTATCACCTGAATCCACAGTCTCTAGTCCTTTGAATTAAAGACGATTGATTGATCGCCACGTTTCGGACCTCTAGAAACTTGGTCTTTTAGATTGATTTTCCAACAGAGAATAGATTGTGAAGTTTCTTAATATTAACATTTATACCCAAAGTTAGTTCGACAAACGACAAAAGTACAACTTCATCTGAATGTTAGGTGATTGAATGCATTTTAAAACTAGCGATTATCTCGGTTTTCTTGTTTCTTCAAACGAGCCAGTAGAAAAGTGCGTTGGTTGGAATTAGTGAGAGAAATAGATCGTTGTAGTAACTAATAATTGATGCGGTACAAATCCACTATCGACGCCGATGTTGGTAGTGCACGAAAAATAATCGGCCTTCAATAAGCATGAGATAAATTGACGGCAGTCTATCGTTCCCAAGTCATCCAATGGGAATGATTTCCCATAAGTTTTCCATGAAAAGTAGCCTTCAGTGTCAACAGCTGGTTCAACGGGCAAATAGAGGCCTAATAACACTTCCTGCTAGATGAATAAGCCTAACCGGGAAGCGGCTTGTATTTGTTCGAGTGAACTTCACCAAGCATGCTATTAGAAGGCACAGTGATAGGTATCAAAAAGATACAGATAAATGCCACAATAACCACACCTGTCGCAGTAGTAAGTAGGTCAAGCTATGGAGGATACTATGACAAAAGGCTCATCTTGTCAACTATCTAGACATGCACAGCGTTAGTAGTCTCTGGGTGAGTAAGCTAAGTCGTGGCAGACTTGGCCTGGACTATCAGTGGACATCAGATAAGTGCTTAACAAACTTACAGCAGACCTCGCCCCATCTGTAGCAAGGCTAGCCCATGTTAGCTGTTTACCACAACCTCACCAGCGTACCTGGAAGCAAAGATGAGGTATGCTGGCGGAGGTTTGAGTCTGTTTATTGCTGGCGAACAAGGGTTACGACGTCGAATACGCTGCTCTACATGGTAAGAACCTTGGATCCCGGGCTCTAACCAAAGAAGTTTTCACATTGCGTTTATAGCATGGTGTCGCAGCCTCGGTTTTCTTGCTAAATTATACTCTAGGCATACAATCAACTACCTAGTCTCCATGCAGATGCTAGGTCGAAGTAGGAGAAGTAATTTTAAAACAGGACATCACAGTTTTAATATCTTTGTCCTTTCTAGCTATGACCATGTAAGAAATGTCGGTCCTCCCTGCCTTGAGTTAATGAGACTTATGAGTCAGAGAGTATTTCCCTTCCCCTATCTGCAATTCAGCTCCTCTATAACAATATGACCCCTCGCAAGTCTTCATTCAATTAACATTTCGAAAGGCTGTTTGCCTATTACTGTAACCCCTTTTAGCCTACGACACGAATGTGTTTGTGGGTAGTTGATAGGTAGGACGAAAAGAAAATAAACACCAGCTGCTGCGCTCTCTCGGCCCCAACTTCTGTCAAAATCTGTAGACATAGATAGCATCCTAAAGCGCAGGGAGAGCTCGTCACCGCTAGAATGAGGCAGAAGAGTGCCAGGCTGGTGAGGTGGTTAGATCGGGACATGGAACGGGAAATGCAGGGGTGGTTAGGGACTGGATAGAGAGACCGTCTTCCAATCCCCGACCAATACGTTTGGCCCTAGTCGTTGCAGGTTATTTTTCCAAATCATTTAACGTGTTTTCAGCTATCCAGCTGTGGTACATTATCAGTGCTATGTTTACAGGTCCAACGACTCTTTTGACTTAAAAGATAACCATATTCTGTATTTCATTCGCAAATAATAGTATGAGGTACGTTTGCATATACAAACAGTCTATCCTCCTCCGAGAATACCCACGAAAAGGACGTTTCGAATCCTTTGATTAACCAAACATACCTTCGTCATCTATGTGAACTTGCACCGCGAGAAATGTAGGTAAGTTTTGCCGAAGTCGAGCGAACTGTCTCCTGTCTCAAGTGGGATGTGTGTCCAAGCTGTCCAGACCTTACTTGTGAGACCTGCTCTCATTGTAGGCTAGCGCTGAAGCCAACAGCTGCATGGAACTGGAACTCCGATGCCACCCTCCTCCTGCAGCTAGGGTTAGCCTGGAAATCTATGGATCGTGCCACCCGCAGTCCGGTACAGTCGAGCGGCAGTGGAGTGGCTCGATTAGTGTTGGAGCCGATCTAGCTGCCTCGTGTGCACTGAGGAAACATCATCGGCTTACAATCAGTAGGATATCCCTCTTCTACCTCACTCAGTCCTTCCTATCCGTGCCAGCCTTGGTTGTCATTCAATTCATACCGTGCGAACGACAAATCCCACGGCCATCACCAATAAATCGAATGTGAAGCTCACGTTGATAAGTGCTTCAGAATCTGAGTAATTCTGGCTGGTTCATGTTGCAGAGACTACGGATGGTGTGCGCGAAGTAGGGAAAGGACTTCTGCCCGATGTGAGGTCAAAGTGCGAATTGGAGATGGACACGGATCGCCTTAATTGCGGCGGCAATATTTTGCAGCTAAACGAGCGCGTCAACATCAGCCAACGTCGCGTTGTGGATCCGTATAGCCCCGGTCAGCTTCTCACTAACATGGTATGGGCACAGCTATCCATGCTGCATGGATGAAGTAGACAAGATTCAGGGGTAAGGCGCAAGGTGTGTGGTGTAGTTTTAGAAATAAATTTTGCGATGAGATGAGAAAAGGCTATCTAGCTACATGAAGATATATGGAGGCCCATCTATCGCTTAATCTTATTCGACGTCAACTACCATCTGATTGCCGCCACATACGATAAACGTCCTTGGATTAAACATGTCATGCATTTCATCTGAAGCTCTACTACTCTTCCGTAGTAGTCAAGAGCAACGGGTTACCGCGTGACCACTACACTATCAGACCACGCTATGGTAATTACTCGTCAGAGCTCCGCCAACCTCACGTGCACGAAATAACTTCAGTGTAGCGACTTAGTAGCAACTAGGCGCCCTTGAAGGGCGCAGGCGTACTTCATGGAATGGCACTTACATCAGATTAGATTAGATTTATATTATAGTCCAAAGTGAGTCAATGAATGTAGAGGACTCCTAGAATCTATATATAAGATACTAGCTACATTTTTCCCTTTCCAATTTTGCAAATTTTAACTATGTTCTCATGGACAGTGAGGGTCAAGCCCTATGATGAATGGCACTTACAATTTGTTGGAGATTGAGAGAAATGAGGTAGAGGACTATGGGTCACGACGTGTGAGACAGCTGAGACATATATTTGTAAGTTCCTTGCTGTTGTTGTTATACTATCTCGAATGCATTATTCCCAATAATACAAAAGATGCACTTATCTACAAATGAGCTAGATCGCTTAGGTTTGGTTGGCGGCTTTCGCAACTTTTTTCCCTCGCTGCATGGCATCACGTGCTATACAACTACAGATCAGAATAAAGTTCGAGGACGAGAAGCGATAGAATACAATATTCTTGGGACTGGTCGACATGGCTGAGTCGTCGAATGTGCACTAGAGTCTAAGAAGTATTGGCGTGGCTATTTTGGTTGCAGAGTGAGGTGAGGCATGTATAAAAATTAGCGATATCCCCCAACGTAGGTAGTATGAAATCATCATCTTAACTCCCGGATAGGCCTCCACAAGTTACCTGCCTACAGATCTAGTCCAGTCCATTACTTTGCGTATATTAATGTCAAATTGCAACTTCGATTGAGTGTTATCTCCTTGCTACTTAGAGGGTCTCAGGAAATGGCCATCCTGCATTGAGTAGCTGAAGGCGGCGACTGAGAAGATATTGATTTCTTCCCCAAATCCTACGATATGAAAATATAGGTATAGATCAGGGTCTAATCCCTAACATCAAGCCATTATCCTGCCTTAGATGAGTTTATATCATTAATGGTCAAAGTCAAGTCGGCTACTTCGAGGTGGAGTCCAACTCATTCCTGGGTGGCTGGTTTAATTATAGGGTACTTCGTGATCTCGTAAAATAAGACGCGATATATGGTACGCCCAGAGACAATAAAAACAACATGCCCTACCGGTAAAGACGAATTCTTCACCTTCTCGTGGTGATGGTTTAAAGGCTCGGTGAGCTGCACATGTTTGGGAACGCCAAAGAGATTCCTATATAAATCGAAGTTTAAAACAAACTTGAGCATATTCATAATCGATGACTTCTCATATACATCGGTCTTATCATTCTCACGCGATTCCTCCAACTAAATATCACTACCTACCGCCTCGCATCAACGATCCATCCAGAAGCTGTATTTGTGGGGGGGTTTCGACTTTATGGTGTTTTTCATCGCCAAGCCTATATTGTTGGGTGACTAGCCAGGAGGTTTTCTAATTTCAATGAGTCTATAGAATTCCCCAGTACCTAAGTCGACACAAAAAAATTGGGCAAAGCTACTATATAGCGATTGCGTTCTGTCAAGACTTTTCTGAAGTTTCAACACGGCCTTCGATTTTTGTGTGTATTTGTCTATTGTGCATCTTGAGTCTATGACTATCGAGCACGCCTTTGATTTGTCCCAAGATAGGGATTATGGGAAAAGTTGATAAGAAGCTAGAAAGGCAGAGTGACTTTCCTATGCATACATAAGTCTGTAGCACCTAACTAGTTGGCCTCTTTAAATGCTTCAGAAGGGTCACTA